ATTAATTATGCGTTTCCGCGCTGCAACAGGCAGCAAAAACACATACTGCAACAACCCTGTCAGTGTATGTGTGTGTGTGTATGTTTGTGTGTATGTGTGTTCGTCTGTCCGGGTATTTCAACTCGCCAAGCACGCAAGCTTTGAAGCTGAAATTCTGCTAGTGTGTTCCCCAGCCAAGTGCCATCCCAGGATCGCGGTATCAATCCACAAGCAAGTCTGGGCCTCGTGTACGACCACGTAAGGTTTTGGCGAGAAAACTGCTAATTCGGGAACGAGAAAAACTAGAAAGCTAAAATTTTCAGAGGAATGTTCCCTACTTATGTACGACCAAAATCAGTTTAGGAGTGCCTGGGACCCACATACGGGACACGTGGGAGTTTCGGCGGGAAAATTGCTAAATCGGGACAAGAAAAGTTAGAAAGCTGAAACTTTAGGGGACTGTTCCCCATTAATGTATGACCAAAAGATTTCAAATTCAGCTCCTTGGAACCGTCCGGTACTCACGTACGGATACGTGAAAATTTTATGGGGAAACTGCTAACTCGGGAAAGAGAAAAGCTCGAAGGTTTTAATTTTAAGGGAATGTTCCCTACTCATGTGCGACTAAAAGATATCAAATTTAACTCTTCTAGTGCGGCCTTTTTCGCGGACCAGCAACTTCCCATTTATCGGGTCACTGAAGTCGACATCTACAACGGACATGCCACAAAGTCGCACAATTAACTTCCTGAACTTCGAGGGCTAGTATGTCATAAGGTCAGCTATTGTGATTCCTTGCGATCTTGCTACGGCACGAAAAGTGCAAAAACGTATGATCGCACCGGCCCGGCTGGTGCGTTGCAGCCTAGGGTTTTTTTGGCGTCATCCGGCCAGAAATTGCAAAAACGCGTCATTCCTTCAGGCACTGTTCCTGTATAAGCCAAGTAGGAATCAAATAATGTAGAAGCGATACAGCCCATGCCACTGTTATGGATTTGACATAAAACTAGTATCTAAAGCTGTTCACGTAACGTTGCTTTTTAAAGTTACGAAACCCCGACAACAGACAAGCACAAGCAGGTATCACTTCCCACATAGCTAGTATCACTTGGCTTTTATGTGAGGAGCACCCTGTCTCTCCATGTGCCTTAAGAGAAGTTGTAAAAATCGTCAGAACGAAGAAATGATGCGAAAAATTGGACCAAATGATGCGGAATTTCGCCAGA